CAGTGGTAGAGCGCTTGCCTTGCATGCATGAGGCCCTGGGTTCGATTCCTCAGCACCGCATAAACAAGAAGAAAAAAGCCGGAAGTGGTGCTGTGGCTCAAGTGGTAGAGTGCTAGCCTTGAGCTGAAGAGCTGAGGGACAGCGCCCAGGCCCAGAGTTCAGGCCCCACGACCGGACCAAAAAAAAAAAAAAAAAGAAAATGGATGGAACTGAAATCATTGTATTAAGCAAAATAAGCCAGACTTGCAAATATCTTGTTTTCCTTTATATACGGAATCTAGATCTAAAGAACATTATTGTAAAAGAAGGGTTCCTTGGGAGGTATAGCAAGAGGTGGAAAGTTAAAGGAGAGAGTGATGGGTTGTATATTATTGAATTACATTATCTGCATATATGAAAACAGAATGAAGCTCATTAAATTATTATATTTTTGGGGGGGGGGGTCCGGTCATGGGGCCTGAACTCTGGGTCTGGGCGCTGTCCCTCAGCTCTTCAGCTCAAGGCTAGCACTCTACCGCTTGAGCCACAGCACCACTTCTGGCTTTTTTCTTTTTGCTTATGTGGTGCTGAGGAATCGAACCCAGGGCCTCAGGCATGCAAGGCAAGCACTCTACCACTGAGCCACCTTCCCAGCCCTCATTAAATTATTTTAAGAAGAGAGAATGGAGCCAGATGCCAATGACTCATGTCTGTAATCCTGGCCACTCAGGAGGTTGAGATCTGAGGATCCCTGTTTGAAGCCAGCAAGAGCATAAAAGTACATAAGACTCTTGTCTCTACTTAACCATAAAAAAAGGCAGGCTAGAAGTGGTGGCTCAAGTGTTAAAGCCCCAGCCTTGAGTGGAAAAACTAGGGAACAGTGCCCAGGCCCTGAGATCAAGCCCAAGCCCTAGTACACACACACACACACACACACACACACACACACACACACACCCTGACAAGAGGGAGTAAGAGAGAGGAGTGGTGAATTAGATCAAAGCACATGACATGTATAGATATAGCACAAAGAAACCTCTTTTCACAAGTAATATGTGCTAATAAAAGAAATCATTAAATAAACAGTTAAAATGGTAAATTCTATTATTTATGTGAAAACCACAAACTAAAAAAGTTGTGCCATTCTTAACTTAAGGCTCGTTCATTCTTTCCTCCATGTCCGACTCATTTGCCACTGGTCTGGCTGATGTTTTGCCTAGTGGAGGCTCCTCACTTTCCCACACTCAAGCAGCACCTGTGACTTGTGAAAATTGTTGCTTCTTGAGCTCTGACATTGCTCCCCCCACAGTCTAGGGGCAGGGCTGGTATCTACATTTTAAAATTCCCAAGGAACCTGCTGTGGGTGGACTTTAGACCACCCTTGAAGAAATATTGCCTTACCGTGTCTTTGGACCGTGTCTTTTCCTTTCCTCTTTTCCATGACCCCTATTCTTATCCCGGCTGGCCCTCATCAACTCACACCTAGATTACAGCCACAGCTGGCCATTGCTAGCCTTTCCTTGGTCCAGCCTCTCCAGCTGCTGCAACCCATCCTGTAAAATCCTTTTGCATCACATAATTTCCCCACTCAGAAGCCTATCATGGCTCTCTGAGACCTATCAGATACTATTTAAAGTCATTTGGCTGGAGGCCAACCAAGCAGGCTTCCATCCTATCTTTTCTTCCTCCATTACACAGCCACCTCTCTTGCTCTTATTTGTCTACTTTTTCCCTTCTGTTAGTCTCTCAGTTGGCCTACACCACACAGGGAACACTTGTTTATACAGGAGAAATTATGTATATATATGTATATATATATATATATATATATAGCTACATATCTATATCCTGTTTGAATTCTCCATCCTGTTTCTCAATACACCCATCTTGCGTCCCCCTCATCCAGGTCCTGTGACTCACTGGTTGCTTAAACCTCTCTGTGCCTTAGTGTTTCACTTTCTCATCGTAAACTGGGAGGATTTTTTCGTCCTTCTGGTTTGCAGTACTGGGGATGAAAATCAGGGCCTTGAGCCTGCCAGACAGGTGTTCTACCACGGAGTTACACTCGCAGCTGCTATAAAGGTACACCTTACTAGGACATAGTTCATGTGTTTGTGGGGGAATTAAGACTTAATAAATGTACAAGGGATTAGAATGATGTGTGGCCTAAAGCAAGAGTCATGCAAATGATAGCTGTTTTTTTTTTTTTATTAAGTGCTGTGATTATTGGAAATTTTCTGCTTGGATTTTGCTGACTGGCAGAGTTCTCTTCTAAGCCTTGCCTGATGTAGTGGAGCAAGTTAAATATTCAGTATTTGGGTTCCAATGAGCTTCTCTACATGACACAAATGAAGGAAACTGGGCTGTTTACAAATCTGTAACTGGTCCATCAAACCCTAACCAACTAGAAGAAGTGATATTTGAAAACGAGATTTTTCTGAATAAGTAAGATGATGTTAGGATAACTTCAAAATACCATAAGGAGCAGCAGGCTGTGCATCTAAAGTTGTGTGTATTTCTTCTGTACAATATGTTTGGAAATATATATTTATATATAGTGGAATCACTGCTTCTCACAAATTAGCATATGTATTATCGTTCTAGTTTTCAAATCCACATTTATGGCTTTTGTGGCAAATATAATCAATTCTTTTTAAACCCTCACTGCATTTTACTCACCATTATTGTGTTCTCTTTTTCTCCCTCCTCCCCCCTCTCTTTCCTGAACTTTCAAATACCAAAGTGTTTGTGGGGGAGGGTCTAAGATATGTTTTTGACATTGCAAAGGTGATCACTGTCCATGGGAGCAATACTGAGCTCTCTGGCTCTCAGTTTTCTTGTCTGTCAAATGGAGGTAAGTCATCACTACCTCTTCAGGGCAGGAAACACAATGTTTTCCCTTCAGGAGAAGGCCTGTGAAATAGGGCTTTTGTGATCCTTGTGCCTATGACAGGAAAGCTGCCTGGAGGAGAGAGGAGACGCTAGATAGGAGGTCACACAGTAAGGTGGCATGCCTAGGCTGAGAAAAAAATCACTGCTACAGATCTCAGCTGAGCCCAGAACCTCAGAGGCCACAGAAGTCTAGGAACAATATGTTTCTCAGCTTTTCCCCACCCTTGTTGGTTTTCTGTGGGACAATAACAACAAAGAACTGCTCTTCTATGTGAATAACAAACCTCCCCAGTTCCTCTTATCTGGGCTAGTAACCACTGTGGCCTCAGAAGTTGCAGTGTTTGTCTCTGTTTAGGCGGGGTTGCCTAGGAAACAAAGTTGTTCTCTGTTTACCACTGTGGCTGTGGGACAAGATTTTCCCCTCCTTGTACAGAAAGGACTTGATGACCAGAGAGGTTTGGGTGTTGCTGAGCTATTCTTTGGGTCTTCTCTCATTTTTCTTATTGTGATAGTGAGAATTGAACCCTCATTTATTTTCATCTATTTGTTTTTGTTCAGCTGGCAATAGAGGGTGTGAGATGTGCAAATGAGTACTTAGTCTAAAAACCCTTGGGCTTGTTTTGGAAGGGGGGGCAGTATTGAGAGTAAGTGGGGATTGAGAGCCTGGTCCAGTGGGGGCTCAGCTGCCTGGAGACTAACAATGCGCTAACCCAATTTGTATTTGTGCCAGTGGCTGTGCAATCTTTGGGCCATGAGTACATTGGGCCATGTACTCAAGTACATGGGCAAGTAGACAATAAACATGGCGCCATGAATAACAAGGTTAGGGATGGGTGGAGATATTGAAGCTTTAGAAGTCAGCAAGCAGGAGTTTTGCAACATTCTGAAAAATGGTCTTGGTGACTGGAGGACAAGCCAGTATGTATGGCCTTCACAGAAAAGGCCATATACCATGTTTATGTTTTTGCCAGTCCTGGGGCTTGAACTCAGGGCCTGAGCACTTTCTCCGAGTTTCTTTTTGTTTAAGGCTGGCACTCTACCGCTTGAGCCACAGCATCACTTCTGGCTTTTCCTGTTATGAGGTACTGAGGAATTGAACCTAGACAATCACTCTTGCACTAAGCCCCATTCCAAGCCCATATATCATGTTTTGTTACTTGGAACGGATATTGGTACAAAGGAGGGAACCAAGAAAAGGGATCATCTTGGCCAAAGAATTCTGTTCAAATGGCCAAAGGATAGGCATATATGCTACAGGATGCAGAGCTTGATTGAAGTCACCACAATACTGGTGATTGTCTTCCTTGGGAACCAAACAGAAAGCTTAGAACATGGTTCAGGCCAGGTAGGTCCAGGTGAGGGCATAATAGACTAAATGCTGACCAATACTGTATCAGAGAAACAGTAGGAAATGGCAGAAAAACGGGGCTATAGAGGTAGGTGACAATAACCCCAAGGGAGCCAGAAGAGGGGAGCAGGAAGCCGTAGCCTATGTCTAACAGGCCTGCCCGCAGGCTGGCAGGATTGGTGATGGACAGTTAGCAACAGTGACAGTCGAGAAACCGGGCCTGAAGACATCCTTTTTTGAGCAGGGTGAGGGGAGAATAATTGAAGTAGCACTGTCACCTCATACACCCTCCCTCCTTTGCACTCTAAGCTTCTTTGCCAAGGTTAAGGGTTGCGAGCAGATTGGCACAGAAGAGAAGTCATATGATTTGATAAGACTTACTTGTGTTGATGGGGCTCCTCTCTTGCTCCACATGTATACCTTTTAGGAGGCTCTCTTGGGAGTGTCCCTAGGCATTCTCAAATCACCCCATAAGCAGAATTTTGGTGTTAACAATCTTACCTCACTGGTCACTCTGCAGCTGTTGTACAAAAGCAAGAGCAGAACAGAAAGGGAAGACCGGCAGCCTAAGAGCTCTGTGACTTCGGCTAGTGAGGGTCCAGGGCATGTTGTTTATGCAGGGATGGCATGGATGGCCCGCAGTTACACAGGGGACACATGTTTAGCACTCATAGGGCACTCAATAAATACCTAGTGGGTTGGCAAAACAGCCTCCTCCACTGGCTAAGGGGCCTCTCCCCACACCAGTCCAGTTACACTAAGTCACACACTAAGTTCATTCTTAGAAAAAAAGAACAAAGTTTATTGAAATTTCAAGCTTACATTTGAACAAAAAAAACATCAAAGTCCAAATCCTGGAGACATTCAACAGGATAAGGTGTCAGAAAGTGGAAAAGTGTTCAGTTACAGAACCCCTTAGAGACAAGCTCCTGGGCACAGTCCCCATGCCCCATGGGATCAAAGCCATTTATTCCCTAATCTATCCCTTGTCCACAGCAGGATGCTATCCTTCTATTTGCCCTCAAGTTTTCCATTAAAAAAAAGTTCTCAACTGACAATGTGAAATCCAAACCGATCTTCTCTCAACCCCATTCTATGTAGTCAGCACCAGTGAATGGTGGGTTTGGCTTTTGAAGGAGGATTTCACAGGTCTTTATAGGACAAATGGGGAAAGGGCTACAGCAGCAAGGCATCTCTGGCCGCATTCTGAGGCTGGTCCCCTTTCTCTGCCTTTCCTCTTGAATCTTATGTAACCTAAAGCACAAACTCCATCAAACTGGTAAATGAACAGTCGAAGAATTAGCTTTAAGAGGTGAGGGACCATTCAAGACTCCCAAAGCTGGTTAGGCCTTCAACATGTAGGTGTATGTGGCTATGTATACATCTCTACACTAAGATACAGATCTAGCCCTATAGGTATATATACACATTTATGGCTATATAGAAAAACTATGCCAATATGAACCAAACAGAACTTTGTAAGCGCTCATCCCAAAGCTGTAATCCCACACTGGGCTGTGCACAAAGCCATGCATTATACCATATTAACCAACAGAAGGCGGACTTGGCTCAATCTCTCCCATCTGTACCCCTTCCTTAGCAAGGCAGGGGAGAAAAGAGAGGTTGCCTCTGCTTAAAACACAAGTGGCTTCTTCATAGGAACAGTCGTTGCCAGGTGAAGCTGTTGAAGATGTCCACGGAAATGAGAAACAGACCCCTTATGCTTTCTAAAGCAAAACTGGTATCACATCACAAACTACTTTTCTCCTGTGCCAGCTGTAGCTAAGTTGCTCAGGCCCTGGGAGCCCCCAGGGCACGATGACATTAGAGGCTCACTGGTTTGGGGTTACTAAGCCCCATGCAACTCAGCTTCCAGAGACCTGCTCTTTGTCAGGGGTCTGTCACTGGAGTGGACCCAGGTGGCCATGTCCTTGGGACATCTCTTGGCACCAGCTATATTAGGTGTAAAGTTCTCCACGTGAGATGACGCTTGGGGAGCCAAAAACAAACTGGAAAGAACTAGGTAGAACAAGTTTAGTGGCTCTGCCCACCCTGAGGACAGAGCCACTTACACTGCAGAGCCACCAGAGGCTTCCGGTGCTTGTGGGGATTCAGGAGCTGGCTCCTCAGGGCTCAGACTGGATTTGAACTTCTCCAGCTGCTCAGGACTCGCCAGGGTCTTCAGGAGGGTGTTCTCACGTTCCAGCTGTGAGTTCTTTTCTACCAGCTCACGAATCTGCTCCTTCAGGATCTCCACCTCCTCTCTCACAGCATACATCAGATGGTTCTTCACCAGATCCTGTCATGGAGCAAATCAGAAAGAAGCCATTTGTTAGCCATCTGGGGGCAGCTTCACATTGCTGTCAATCTACTAAGTGTCCGAGCCTTCATGTCACTGGTCCTATAGTTCTATTCCTTGTGTTCCCCTCTAAAACACTTAAAACCCTCAGACAGCTGCAGGATTTGGGGCTATGCTAAGGTGAGGGGCTCAGCTTTGAACAACAGAGGTTCCCCTTTAAGTTGCTAATGACTTTCAAGTCTGGCTTTTAGTAACCTTTGGGTTCCTGGCTGATCTTTGGCCCTGCTGCTGGCCTAAATCCTGGTGGGAGGCAGGGAGGGAACTTGCAATGTGCCCTATCCTGTCATCTGCTTTCTAAACCTTCACCACGAATATAAAATGTATTGTTTTTGCCTTTTCTCCCATCTACATGACAATATATGAAGTTGTAGTTGTCTTGCAGCCTGGGGAGATGGGACACAGGGACACTTGCTTTGGGAGGGGGGGCAGATGCAGATATGGCTGCATACTGGCTGAAGTTGATGACTTCACAGAGGCAGGGAACTGTGACATCAGACTCCAGGGTACAGTTAAGGGACGTCTACCTGCAGGAAGCCCTGGGCTTCTTCAGCCATTTTGGCTGCTTGGTGGTGTATGACCTATACCTGATAAGGAGCAGGCAGAGGGTGGGGTGTTTTGCTCTGTGTTTCCTCCCAGCTCCTGCCCCCAGCCCAGGCTCTGCAGAGGCACTGCAGAGCAGTTGCATCCAATGAGCTCAAGCCTCTGCCAAGTGCAGGAGACGGACCATTGCAAGTCTTAGATCCCTGCTCTGTGGGTTGGGGAGGAAGCCAGAGGCTGCCGCAAAGCCCTAGGAAGCAGGAAGGGTCAGCAAGGAGGTCATCTGGCAAGGGCAGACTGGAAATGCTCTGAGGAGTGTCACTCTGAGCAGGCTGTAGGGAGAACAGGAAGCAGGGAGTTGGCCTCCTGGAGCTTTTGGCTAAGGCTTTCCCTGCCCGTTTCCTGCCCTCCTCCCCCCCCCCCCCCACTGCCCCCAGTTACATAATCAGCAGCTAAGTGTGGGGATGGAAATAATGCAGTGATGCTAATGTCACTCACTCACCATGGCCTGTTCAATCTTGTTGTCAATTGCCACCACACTGGCTCCAGAGGCACTGCAAAGACAAAAAGAAAAATGACCCGTTACTCATTCGGTTCTGTTCTGAATACAACACAGCTGCAGCCCCAGTCCTCCATGTGCCAGGCCCTTCCTTTCTCTTGTCTCCTTGGCGGTTTGTCCTCAGATCCTTCTCTGGTTCCTGAGGGGAAACTGCACATCCATACCCAGGCTAGCTCTGTCCAGCCACCGCCCAGAGTTCCAACTGAGTAAAGCCACACACAGTCCCGAGGCGCACAAGCCAACGTGGCCTGCTCTTGGGCGACTTGCAAACAATGGGGCACACAGCCCAGAGAGGCTTCCCTCCTTCCAGCCCAGAAGGTCCCCGGCAAACCTACCAGTAGCTGAACCTAGCTAAGAATGCCTTTCCCAAGTCAGGCGCTTCTGGCCTCCTTGGCAGTGTGCAGCCAGACTCCTGCCCGGCTCTGCCCAGCCAGCTACACCTCGGTCTCCGGCTGCCTCTGCGGCTGCAGCAGCTGTTCTCACGGCGCAGCAGCCGCAGGGACACTCCAACAGCCGATCCCAGCGCAGCGGTGACCCCCCCACCCCGCTCGCGTCCCTTACCCCCGCCCCTTCCCAGGATGCTGCACCGCAGGGAACCGGGACCGAGGGCACAAGGCTCGGCTCTGAGATAGCACTAGCAGCCCAGCCCCAGCCGGCATCCCCCATCACCCCGCTCAGCTATGGAGCTGGGGCCATGGTTACCTGTTATCCAGCTTAACGGAAACCACATCCCCTCCAAGCAGGGAAGAGAAGAAAGAAATGGAGAAATTGTGCAGCTGGTAGACCGCCACCTCCATGGGGGTCTGATACATTTCGGTGTTCATGGTTTAGGTGGCCGAGGGCTGTGGCTGGGCTGGGCAGGCTGGGCGGCTGCTGGCTGCTGGCGCTCTGCAACGACCGGGGGTCTGGCCTGAGCTAGGTGGGCACGAGGATTGCCGAATGGACTCAAAGCCAGGCAGGCACTCAGCAGTAGTTGAAGGGAAGTGACTCGAGGGGTGTCACTTGGTATGTCACAAAGTCCACAGCCGCCAGTCCAACCCAGACTCGGAGATATTTCAGCTTCTGCTTCTTTATATAGGAGGAGCCGGCTGCGTCACATGGCGTCAGGGGCCATGCAAATGAGTCTTGTACTGAGCTTTGTGGCCCAGTTAAACCACATCCCCTCCCTGAACCTTAGGCTGGGACTGTAAACAGTTCAGCATTTTCCTGTGCCAACTGGCATCGCCAAAGAGGGCTCTGGAGATTGGTTAAAAAAAAAAAAAAAGCAAACTGGAGCTGATTTCTAGAGAAATTGGAAGAAAGGCTCTAACGGCAGTGGAAAGCATTCAGTAGAGGGCGGTGCTGCTTTGAAAAGCTGCTCTTCAGGTGTAAGCCAGTACACTCCCAAGGTTCCTCAATGCTCTTAGACCACACTCTCTGCATTCAACTCCCCCCCCCCCAAAAAAAAATCAGGAGCCTCGCTGTCTCTTGCCTTCTCAATCTCTCCCCTGCACACATACTTTATCACCAGCATATTCAGTCTCTCAGAATGCACTTCTCCTCTGGCTCAGCTGGTAGCTCTTCAGCCTGCCCCAAACTCCAGAACCTTCCACTCCTCTCTTCCTTAGAGATGTGATCAAAGGTATGCATGTTCAGGTCTTTACTATCTGCATATGCTCATGTGAAGAGAGGGTGTTAAGCACTAGGGTGAGTGGATCCATAAATAGCAGCTAGGAGCTAGGTGGGTAAATAGAGTAGGTAGATAGACACTGTGTGAGAGTGGGCATTGGTCTCTACACCCTGCACTGCAAACAATACATTCAACATTAAACAGATCTCATGCCTCCCCCCACTTTATGAGACAGAGTGTTGCTGTGTAGCCCAAGGTACCTCCTGCTTCCTCTGCTTCCTTAGTCCTGCGTATTATAGGTGCATGCCACCACACATGGCTAGCTCTAATTTTTAAAATTTTTTTTATTATTTTCCTATAAACAGCATACAATAGGAAAACTACAAACCAAGAACACACACATACACTACCCTCAGAAAAACATCTGCTCTGTGATGAGTTCAGTAATACATATACAATTAGAAATTTGGGAAGGTGGCTCAGTAGTAGAGAGCTTGCCTTGCATACACGAGGCCCTGGGTTTAATTCCTCAGCACCACATAAGCAGAAAAAAGCTGGAAGTGACACTGTGGTTCAAGTGGTAGAGCGCTCCTTGAGCTGAAGAGCTGAGGGACAGCACCCAGGCCCAGAGTTCAGGCCCTACAACCGACAAAGAAGTTTGGGGGTTTTATGAAAAACTAAACTGCAGGATACAAGGAAAATGAGTTGGTTATTGCCTAATAGCTACATATGGGCCAGGATAGTGGTATATATTTGTAATCCCAGCACATGGGAGGTGGAGGCAGGAGACTTTTGAGTTTGAGGCCAGCATGCTTGACATGGGAAGATTCTGCCTCAAAGACAAGTTACACACGTTTTCATCAAAACATAATTTCATTCTTTTTCAGTCTCAAGATATATATATATATATATATATATAATATATATATATATATATATATATATGAAGAACCTTGAGATTTTTTTTCTTGTCCTCCTTAAGTGAGGCCACCTAGTGGACAAAAGAAAAAATGCAACTAGGAGGAGTAACCTAGGCTTAGAAAGGGACAGGTGATGATGCAACAATCAACATTATTTACACCAACCCAGAACAGAGGAACACTGGGTTCCACACATATACAATAGTTTGGAGGAAGTTAAAGCCAGCACCCATGAATCAGTGCACCATAGGATGTGGTCCAAACAAATATTCTAATGCAATGGTGCTATTGGAAAAGTACTGAGACCTCTTATCAGCAAAGAAGGTAATTATTATTTGCTTGAGGATATTTCTTTTAACAGGTACCTAGCACTGACACCCTGGAGAAGGCTGCAGCTAAGCCCAGTCTGAAGGCCTTAACTTCCTTTGGGCTTCTAGTGTAGTTTTATCATTAAAAAGCCACCATGTCAATGAGAAACACACAAATAGTGATCACTGTATTTGTCAAGGGTTGACTCAGTAAACTACCCAAACAAACCTGCTCACTAGCCCATTTTGTCCCATTTTAAGTGGGAGATAATGTCAATCTCAGAACATTATTAATTTCAGGCTCCCTAAACCCTGTATTTACACTAGGCTGTGTGTAGTAGATAGAACAAAGTGCAGATAATATTTATAGGCCATCAAGTATGTTATCTGAGAAAAACTCCCTTAAATCAAGAGCTTAAAGACTGTTGGAATTTCTTGGCTTATTAATCTTCCTTCTATGCCATCCAGAACGTTCTTAGTCCAGGAAGGATCACTGAATTGCCTTGTTAATTTTTTTCTAAACTATTGCTACCCACTCCAAAATACAAAGAAGATGAAAGAGGAGACAGCAATAATCTGGGTTGGCAGGGACAAAACATCACCAGGTAAAAAAGGTACAGGACAGAAAGTAAAACAGCTCTTTGCTGTGGACTTTCTATGTGATGACAGAGGCAGAGAAATCCCGGCAGTTTGGGAAGGGAAAAGAGATTAGGTTTGCTATGTAAGTGGCACTAGAATGGTGTGCTAATTATAATTCAATTAAAAAAACAAGCTGAGTTTGAGATTCACTGACCATAATAGCTACCATTACAGGAGTACCAGCTATGGGCAGACACTACTGGTTGTGCTGTAGACCCTGCCGTGTAGGCACTGTCACTATTGTTCACAGAGGAAAAAACTTGAAGGTCTGAGAATCTCCCTAACCCAAAGTGTTAGAGCTAAAGAAATGCAGAGCTGGGACTCCAGCCTATATCCTTCCCACCAAAAAAAAATTTGTTTCTACTTTACTTACTCAAGTGGGGAGTAGGTTTGTTAAAAGAGCTGAGTGGAGGGAGGTTCATGTGAATGAGTGGAGGCAGTTGGGAGAATGGGTTGGAGGTCACAGAAGGTCCAGGAGGCAATAAAGGTGAAGGGCACAGGAAAGTCTTCCAGCGATGCCTACAGTACTGCTGGAGAGGTCTGGAGGCCAACTTTGAGCCCTGCAAGCACAGCCAGCTTTTTTGACTTTGGGGTTTGGGAAGATTATCTGAACTATCCTGGTGAGTTTTAAATGAGTGAGTTCAAAATGCAGCCAAGAAGTCCTAAGGACAGTTTCATCTGTCAAGAAAATGGGAACTATGAATCTAGCCTAATGGCTTCCAGAATGGACTATATAAGTCCTTTGGTACACAATGTTCCAAATAAGGTATGCAGTCTCAGAATAGCAATCACAGTCCAGTCAAACCCCCAATTCCAGATGGCCCACTCATTGCCACCCTTTTAGGCAATTAGGCCCCCCTCACCCTTTTCATAGGCTTGATGTGCTTGGCTTTTTAGAATGAAGGCAATAAGAAAATATTTTTATTTTTAAAAGAAATAATTATTCAAATATGTTCCTGGTTTAGCCAACACTTAGACTAAATTGCTCATCCCCAGTATACCTCTCATTCTGGTGTGGGAGAAAGGATTGTCGTCTATTGCCAAAGCATAACCGGATCTCAGGGTCTGATAAAAGGAGACAGACAATGGACTTAATGTCTACAAAAGTTTTTCTAAGGAGGACAAGGCAGACAGGTGGGTAGAAGGGGGCAGAAGAGAAGGAGGAAGAGAAATTCAAAGGAGTTTTCTGCTTAATCATTGGTAACTAGAAAATTCCTCTCCCCAGAACAGTTGTGCCAAAACTTGCAGGTGGGAGTCTGTATTGTACATGAGACCCATTACCTGATCTAATATTTCAGAGTAATATGCTGATCTGAGGCTAACAGTGTCCTTGTGTCTAGGGGAGGTAGACCCCACACAGGCAACAGTGGAGCCAAGAGAGTCAATCACCCAATTAACTCCAATATTTAATGTCTCCAAACTCTCCCACAACTTAAAATCTAAACCACACAGTCTGATAAGCAAGAGACCTTCAGTACCTTTCATGTCTAGCCCTAGTGCCATGAGACTTTTTTAACAA